ATATTAATAGATATACTTAGATTTAATGTAATTTTTTATATGAACTATTCTGTAGAAATGACTTTAAAAAACATATTTATTATATTTCCCGTGGATGCATACGATATTTTCAAAAATATACTTTATTTTGGGTTAATTTCAAAGAAATCTACTCAAAATAAACATTGTTTGTAATCTAATGGAAAATAATGCTTGTAATTTCGTTACAAATTTTGAAATGCACGTTACGAGGTACATAAATTGTTAAATTTAATGTTTTAAATGAATTATCTATTTCATTTGAGCCGTTGAAACATTAAAAACAAATAGCAATAAAAACATCAAATAAACCTGAATTGAAACATTTTAAAACGTGTATTTGCTTTAGATTACACAATGTTTAGAAATGTCCGTTACATGGAGTACATATCCAACTAAAGATTATCAAGTTTTTCCCAATACTCGTTATCGATGAGAAACAACCTTCTAGACTTTCCTGAAGGCTTCGGCTCATTGAAACTAAACAAAATATCGGATTTCTTGCACCACAGGACATCCGGGGACTTTGGCCATGCGAACATCTTTTTCTTCTTCTCCATGAAAGATATCTGGAACTGAAATTCATCATCTTCATCCTTGTCAAGAATTTTTACGATATACCACCTGCCTTCATATAGAGCGACAACGTATTGCTCAATTTCATATGAGCTTGAATCAGATTGTAATAATGATTCTGCTTTTGCTGCACTGGTGGCACCCAATTCTTCCTTTTCAGATATAGATTCAAATGGTTGTCTATCTTCAGTGATATCAGTGACTTCTGACTGTGTTTGAATCTCCAGATGGGCTTCAATGGCTACATCATTCTGATTTATGTCCAGCTGCGGATCCTTTGAATGGTTGTCAAACAGCGGTGTAGATATATCCTCTTTAGTTTTTGTTGACTCTCTCCTCCATGATTCACAGTTGCCTTCATTAATACAATCATTGCAGTAGCAGCTTACGTTTCCGACAAGAATGACATTTGAACCCTTTCCTACAACAGCATGGACCTTCATTGTACCCTTTACTGGCTTTGCATTCCACAATGCAATCTCGCTTTCTGTTTTCTGACACTTTTCTTCTGGAACAAATCGAAATTTTACCTGTTTCATAGAACAGTGTGTTGACTGAGTCCTGAACTAAAAAAATCGTTTGCGTCCTGAATTATAACTTTTCCTGATTTTACTGCTTCATCTGCCAGACGCTTTGTCGACCCCCCTAGCCCATCACACGGCCCTTTGCCGTGTCCTGCTTCAAAAATAATTCCACCTAGCCGCTTTTCCAAACGTTTCTTGGTGATTCGCAACTAGATGAAAAACTGTTTTATTCCTGTACTGTGATGTCGGACTATCAGTCTAGTAATGGATACATTTAATGTCCGGATCTAGACTTTTAACATCCTTAACGATTTCTTTAATAAAAGTAACAACAGACGTGGAGTTGGGATTCTGGTCATCAGAAATAAATACATAACTCTGATGTTGCAATTCAGATTTCTTGGTTGGGCGGGTGTAAATTACCGTAGGATGCAAGGTAACTCCTGTTTGATTCCAATACGCTGACTGAATTTCTTCTACACTTTTGCAGTTATAATTTTCTGCAAAATCCATGTGGATTACTGCGTGATTAACAGGAAGTTTTTCTTTAAGCAAACGTATCTGTTCATATTGAACTTTCATTCTAGAAACTTGATCTGAAAATTCCGCAGTTTGCTTTTCGAGGTGAGCAAGGAACTCTTCTTTTGTTTTGGTCATATGGACAACCCTCATCACCATCTTTGTCTTCTCCTTATCTTCCACACTTACACGCTTCCATTCATCAAAAATAAATTCAGCAGTGTTAATCCCTTCACTTACTAGCTCAGTTGGAGGGTCTACAACATAGGCTTCGGGGTTAAGCGGTACATCAATGCCAAAATGACGAATAGCTTTCAGAACAAGAGCCATATTCTGGTGCTTGGTACATAAACAGCAATCCCGAGTGATGAAGGAAGTGGTAAGGATATGTTTAGGTCGTATCCTCTGATATTACGCCAGTGAGAGTTTTATGGTTGGATTTTCGCTCAGAAACTTCCTGTGGAGGTTAGACATGTAATCAGTGAGCACACGTTTTTGAGTACTTTGTTTTAATCCTGTCTTGACCTTGTCTGCTTTCCCAGGCATATAACGTCTATTATCATCTCTTGCTAAGAAGTTAATGACACAATTTTTAAACCTCATGACCTCCCTCATTCTTTTCTGTTTACTACATAGTAGTGTCTTTGACTTCAATTTTCCTGCAGCATTAAGTTTATTTCTACTCAGATCTGTCCATTTACTCAGCAAATTTGCACACCTGTATATCCTCACTATTGCGCCTGCTACAGCGTTGTGAAGAATCTTTGCTCTTCCAGGATTATTTTGATCCTTAGCAGACTTCACTTCATCCATGACAACGTTGCTCAATAAAAGCTGTTTCCTGACCTTTTTTGCATGGTGTTTGTCTAATTTAGCATCGTCTGTTTGAGCCTCTGTCTTACTCCTTGGGGTTGATGGTTCTTGTTGACTCGAAGATATTTACTCACGAAGCCGCAGAAGTCGTCTTTGTGTGGTCTTGTGTTTAAATTTTAGCTTTTCCAACTCTTGCTTCAATGTAGATACTTCTCTAGATTTTTTTGCAAGGGCCTTGGCGACTCTTTTTCTAGGGCCATTTCTCCTATTCGGAAATGCCATTTGAACGACAAATCTGGGACCAGGTTGGTAAGGTGACCGAGGATCAGTATGTGTGTCCTGACTGTCATAGCCACTTGTACTTTCAACTTCTCCTGGAATATTCTCTACAATAATGCTGTTAGTTCTTCCTTTTTTCTTTTTCGATGACGTTTCACAGCTTCATTTAGTTTTATATTGCGCCTTAGGCGTTCTCTCCGTGTAAGTTGACTGGATGGTCCGTAATTTTTTCTTCTTCTTTCCCTTTCCTTTTTTAGATATTCTTCATTATTTTTTGCCTTTAATCTTTATCTGTATGCTCTTTGAATCTCGCCTCTTGATTTGGTCATATTTTCTGTTACAGTATGAAATATTTTCTCAGATTATTAATTCTGATAGCATTAAAATGTCGATAAAATCTTCGTTACTTTCACAAGACATGTACGTTACTTTAGTTCACAAAGAAATAAATTAAAGATATATTCATTTATTTAATTCCTTTTTATAAACAAAGCTTAGTTTTGTCAATATTTTTTTTCAAAGAATACTTTTATTGTCCTAACCTCTTTGTTCAGTCTTCGTGTGTTCTAAATACATAACTACATTTTTTATGTGTATATGTCGCTTTTATGTGCCGTTTTACGGTACCTTTAATGAGATAAATTCTACTTTTATAGCAAAGAAAAAAAAAATGTAATGGTAAAATATAAAATAGCATATTCTTAAAATCTTATATTACTTTCAATTTCGGTACTCGTAAATAAATCACAGCGTGTCTCTTGAAATGTTCGTTACAATAGGTAACGGACATTTCACCCTTTATTGTGAGATACTACAACAATATAAATAAACACGTGGGTATTCTTTAATATTAAAACTGATCTATATGACTTGAATATTTTGTACATTCTGAATATTGTTTGATTTACTTATTACAAAATCAGTTACTTTTATGCATGTAAATGCATACTCACGAGGTCAGGCTGTTAGGTGATTTTTGCAGGAGTTACAATGTTCAGGCGTCCTCAGCACTAATGGCGGGTGTTGATATACCAATAACTTGTCACACGTTTCATTTGCATCATTTCGAACTAGGATTAAATTCGCAGAGAGTTTCGTAAAATGCGGTAACGAACATTTCGGTAACGAACATTTTGAAACCTATTCATAATTCCCCTAGTCTGCTTAAAAATTGAACAGATATATATATCAAGGAAATTTTTAATGGCACCAAATACGCACATATATTCGTGAACGATTTCAAACATTGGATGCATATATTTTCTCATTTTTGGCAGTAACGAATATTACAGTTTTAAATCTACGCTCAGACCTTTTTTGGTTTGCTAATTGATATGAATAGATGAAAAATTTTGACACTTATCGAGGCAAAAACGGCCTAATAATGTTTTAAATCAGCTTTTCTACATTTTAAAGAAAAAATTTACAACTCTTATGGTGTAGTAAGCCTAGTGTAACGAACATTATATAGAAACTGGCGACAGAATTTAACATGATGTAAAATAATTTTCAAACCTGTAAACTAAGCTATTGTCTTTGAAATCATTAAGTTTTCTTGCTGCAAAATAATATGTGGGTACAAACTGTGCGCATTGACCAGTTATTCCAGCATATATCCCTCTCTTACAGTGTACATGTTAAAACCAAAATAGCGACAGTAACGAACATGTCATTTTCAGCTATGTTGTTTGGATTTCTCCACGGAAAATAAATGAATTCCTTTTATCTTTTATGCTTTTTTAAAGGTTTATGAACCAACATCATATTACAATATTAATCACAATTCCACTTATTTTCATTTGTTTATAATTTTATGGCGACACTAATTGCACCCATTTATTGAGTTTGAGTGTAAGCACACTAAATGTTATGGCATTGATGTTTTCAACATGCCTGTTAATACTTTCAATTCAGCAATCAGCAGACACGTTTCTTAATTTATGTTTTTTTCCAAAGAAAAAACTAGGAAAACAAGTGTTAAGTTTTTATTCAGAAAAATAAACTTGACTTTCTGAGCGATAAGTATGGACAACAATAACACAAACAATTTACATTTAATTTCTAAATAATCGTTTCATTTTCTTCATCTTTATGTGACGGAGTTTCGTCGGAACCCGTCCTTTTAATTGCATGCTTTGAGTTTTAGAGCAGTTTGCGATTTCTTTGTAGGCCATTCATCAAATCTTATTCAACTGGGCATCATGTGAGTTCAGACCAGGTCAATGCTTATATTCCTTTGGAAATATAGAATACCATCCTTCAGCATTGATTGCAAGTGTTAGTATATGAACATACGTCGGAGGAAGGACGAATTATGCTTCTTTGTTTTCTTTGCAATAGATGCGACGCAAGAAAACAGACAGGACACTTCAACATTATCATCAGGGTAAATCTCAAAATAGTCGTAAATTTGCATTTGGGAGGTGACCTTGATAGCCTCTCTTTTGGACACGCTTCTTGCTTGATTTTTACCCGAAAGAATTCCGACTAGAACAATTGGTATGGATTTACCCAGAAACTGTCGAATTTCGGGAATCCATACAGACTGGACATTTTCGAAAGATTTTCTTTTCTGGACATCGTAGCAAATGATGATGACATTACTGTCCTTTAGAGCAAATCTCCTCATCTGATCAAAGTCATGCTGTCCAGGTAGATCATAAATAGAAATAATGGCTTTCTTTCCTCTACAAAGTGTTTCCCCTAAAAAAAAAAAGAGGACTGTATAAATACATTTGTTCATATAAGCATAGTCAAGATGGCTTAAATCCAAAGAAACAATTAAATACACAAAGCCAAAATTAAAACCTACCATAGTAATTCTCAAAAATAGTTGGTGTGTAGTTTTCATCGCCTTTTTCTCCAATAAATACTTTGGTCAGGCACGTCTTGCCAACTCGAGCATCGCCAACAACAGAGCATTTCAAATCTGAGACTGACATCTTCGTGTAATGTTAGAAAGTAAAGTGAAGAAAACAAAGTGCTAGCTTTTATAACATGTTGTGTTTGTGAGTGCGTTTGTTTCTACTTGTAGCTTCGTCTGCGTGGTGTTGCTATGGATACATGAAATGTTGGGGAAAGGGGGTGTGAACAACTTTGATATTAAATATATACTTGATATTTCATTGGTGCATGTAAATGTTAAAATAAGGCAGGCTATTTGCTTTCAGTAGTATAAGCAGATTGTAAATGATGATAGGATTTGCTTAATATGCAACTGATGTGCTTTGTCCATATCAAGAATGATTCACATCAGATGAATACTTATTTTCACATGATTTGGGCTGGATTTGAAAATATTGAAGAAATTTGAAGTAGTTGCAGTATTCGATTGGAAGTTTAAAATGAACCAATACATATTCAAAGCCATAGAAAGTCTTACAGGCACCTCAGTGTGATGTTAATAGAAGATTAAATATTTTTTGCCTGAATGGCCTTAATGTTCTAGCATGCAAATTGTTTAAAAATATCGTGTCACATAAAAGTTAACGGATGAACAGCAGAAGTACGTGGTGATTATTAAAGAAACTGCATTTTCATGTTGAGTCTCAATGATTCTTTCATAAATTAATACGAGTTGTGTCAAGCGAAAAGGGACCTTCGTGACAAAATTTTGAAAAGGGGGGGGGGGTCGATAAGGCCGTTTTTCGGCCCCTCACGAAATTTTATGAAATTTTGATATTTTGTAGAAAAACTCCTTATCCTCCTAAAAATATTAAAATAATTTATGTTACGCATTTTCCGGTCACGTAATAATTGAAAATTCAAGTATACCCCCTTTCGTATATTTTTGGAGTAGACATTTTTATATGGGGAAAGTGGATTTTTTAAACCGTCAAAATCGTAAATGAAATAGGATAAATATGAATAAAGACATAAATTAACCAATTTCAACAATTTTTTTTTACGGAAAATGGTAATTCTCTTATGCGAATGTTTTTTAACCAATGCGATATTTTTCTGGTGTGTCAAATGTTACTTTTCTTTAAATCAGGATGAATTTAACTTATAAAACGTAATATTATATATAAAGTTTTAACATCATAATTAATCAACAGTTTATACATAAACTTTATAACCAATATTTAACATTTTCCCATACGAAAAATGCAATGGACATGAGATAGGTAAATGTAAAAACGTCATATACAGGTATATGCAATACATTTTTATCAATGAGGTCATACAACTACATGTTTTATAAAAATATACCTTAATATCATAAAATTGAAATTAAATAAAATGTTTTGAAATAAAAAGATTAAACAATAAATGCAACTTTATATATACACACAAATAAAAAGTTTATTTAAAAGCATCATATTGCTACGTAAGCCGGTACATTGTAGGTGCAAGGTAAGAAAATATTTTATCTGATGGCCGCCACATAAATAAATGGCGGTGACCAGAAACTTATCTGGCGGCCGCCACATAAATAACTAGAAGCCGACACATAAGTTTCTTGTGGTGTAGACGTAATCTAATAAAACATAAATTTAAAGTTATGAGATGAAGACTTTATGAAGTGAATTTTGGTATAAAGTGTAGATTTGATCTTTGCTAATAAGGCATGAAACTCCCAGATTTGACTACAAACAGAAGTTGTAGATGTCGTTAAAGGCAGAGATTTTAAGCACCGCCTTCAAAAATACCTGGTCTGTGTACCTCTGTCAGTCAAGTGCATTTAGGTACATCACTGGGTGCTACAACTCGATTGGCAAAAACACTACAATTTTATCTGGCGGTCGCCATGCAGATATTTCAATGGCAGGCGCTAGAAACTTATCTGGCGGCCGCCAGATAATACATTTTTTAACCTAGCACCTTCAGTATATTACAATGTATTTGATAATATGAATAATATTAATTACAGTCAAAAATATTTTATCATTATACGTAATATGTGAATAGCCAAATGATGGAAAAATCTATAATACATTGAGTGTTTCCTTTTCATTATGAAACTTAGAAGTATTTGCCCACATAGAACAGCATTATATGTTTTCAGCATAACTGAGATGCCAGCCAGGACTAATTTCCTCTCGCTTCCAAACTCTCCATAGATACTTAAGTTGCTTCACCAACTCTAGTCATTTCTCATTTAGAGAGTTTTAGAATTCATTATTTATGATTGTGTAAACGTCAAAGATACGTGTTTAATCCTTAATCAGGCAGACATATGCGCCTAGACATCCAGACTTAAACAATCCACGTTCCCTATATCAACTATACGGAAATATATGGGCACTTCTCTAGCATGTTGTAGCGTGGATTTCTATTTACAAGAAAATACATATTTGTTCAGTCAGTCGGAAAATGTAAGAAAGATCCAGCATCTGAACCATATCTGGATGTGAGCAATCCTAGATGCATCATCAGCGCAAGTTTGGTCACGATAGGGCTTATAGTTACGTAAGAATGATAACCGCTTCAAAATCTTTAACCTGCTCACTCATTAAGGAAATGTAGGTCATATCCAGCATCTGAAGCAAGTCTAATAGTGTGCATCTGTAGATGCATCATGAAGCAAGTCTGGTCAACAAGTGTTTACAGCTGCTCTGATCCGAAAACTTAAACCTGCTTTTAAAACATTTACTTGGACATTCTTTGGCTAAAATTCAGCATCTGAAACCTTACTGGTGACAAGGAAACACGCTGGATCAGGTGACTCTGATTAATATAGGGCATAGATAACCTTGAAAAAAAAATCTGCTTCAGAAGCTTTAACCTGGAACACGGATGCCGACAGTATTACAAAAGCTCCCCCAATTTCGAGGAGGTGAGGTAAAAATGTGACGTTAACGTTATACGTTGGCGACAAAAAAGTATCGAAATGAAAATAGGACACGATAATGTTTTCTACTGTTAAAATAATCGAGAATCTTCTTTGATTTAAAAAAAATATGCTACTTCTGGCTTGGTATTTTAATACAGAGTCAGATCAAGAAACCAGGAAGTTCTAATTTTAGATATGCAAATTTTATGCAATTTTCAATTTTTGGATATGAAGTGCACACGCGACACTCATCATATTTCAAGAAATTAGTGTGCAGAGTATATCTAATTACTGAACAAATTTAGGTGAGTGTCCCTCATGCACTTCATATTCTAAACATCGATTTATAAATGCCACCCTCTTATATTTTCCCATAAGCCTAATGTTAACGGATTTGAGGGTACATCTAAGTATGTATCAACTACGGTGTGAATTCATCTCATATTAACTTTTGAAATAAAAATAACAAAAGTTAACATATTTATCTTGAATTCTAAACTAGTTTTGAAAAAATAAATTGAAATTTATTTTTATGAAAAAAAGTGGGCCGCTGAGCGGCCTTATCGAAACTCCCCCTTTACTATAATTTCAATTTTCTTTGAAGAGCAAGTCCTGCTGAGTATTTTGATAACAATAACAATTTGTTTTACGAAAAATAATCCTAGAAAAAATATCTGAAACAAACTAATAATAAGCACAGTCTCTGCTTTGTTATGTCATGAACGTTGCGTTACGTCAAAAAACAATGTCATTTTCATTGTAAAACAAAAGACTTATCTTGATTACGTGTTTTAAATTATCCAAGGAAGAAACATTTATTGATAACCAATTCATATAGCTTGGTAATTGATTGTGAAGGTAAATGTGATACTTTTCTGCGTTATTATGTTAGATTTCATTTAAAATCAGCAACGAAAATTTTAATGATAGTCCATTTTCCGCTTCATTTCATTCGGGATTTGGACTTGTCATATCCTTATTAGGATTCCTGACAAATGGTCTGTCCATACGTTAGAGGCACTTTTGTCGCTAACGGAAAATCCCTCTTGGTGATACAATCTCCGGCATCACGGCAACTGCTGTTACATTGTATATCTTCACGTGTCAAGGAAGACTTCGACAATTTCCGTTTCTGCATGGTCGGACGTTTCCTTGACGTATACTTTTCCTGTGATAAGATCATATATATACATGTAAAGAGAGAGAGAGAGATAGAGATTGAATGCTTGTGTACTTTTGTAGTGTTCATTCACATACTTTGGATAATATATATATATATATATATATATATATATATATATATATATATATATATATATATATATATATATATACATATATATATATATATATATGGGTATCATTATTAAAGTGAATTTCTCTGTTCTTTCTATATTAATATATCTTCACTTAGGGCAGTTATATTAGTTTAAGAGTTAAGAGTTGTAAATTTAAATGTGCTTTAACATAAAATTAATATTATCATTACAAGGTGTGTCGGTAACGATCCTCCAATAAAACTTATGTCCAAATAACTATCTCACTTCAATTCTCAATGATCGTGTGGTGTAGGGCGGTGCCGCGGATTTCCATATCAAAATCAAGTTTTTTTCACTAGGAGACAGATTCCGTAGATCAAGAGTTCAACCTCGGGCTGGGGCGGAAGTGGATATCCTTATAAAAGTTAATTTATCTGTGCTTTATATATATATATATATATATATATATATCTATATCTATATCTATATATACACATATATCTATAATTTTTGAATAAGTTTTCCTATTATATCACAAATGTAATAAGTTTCACTATAAGCCCTGAAGAATGCTTAATCACACCGGAAACAGTTATGTCACACGCCGGAAACAGTTACATATCACCCGACGGAAACAGTTATAACATCCTCTCGATCACTTTAACGTGTCTTTATGTTACGCATTTGTAGCTCGGGTTTGAGATTTAATGACGTCGGTTGCTAAGCAAACGTAAACAACGGAGCGCAATTGAAGGCAGAGGGTGACATAACACTCCAGGACTTTCTTGTCACCTTGGGGCAAACATTCTGGTATGTCACCCTCGAAGCCATGTGATATATGTATAATAATATATAATAAAACGGAGAAGATATTTCTACAGACCTATTCTGTAAAGAAACAGATACTCACCAATA